CGTCAATCCTACACAGATACCATAAAGGGATTATGACGACGTGCTGGTTTTCTCGTCCGCTTCCCTTTGTAACTTCTTCCTTTTCCCTTACTGCAAGAAATTGGCCGAACACTGTGAATGAACACTTAAGACCTCTTTTTCTCATTAGGCAAGAGTCAATGAGAAGAATGGAAACATGAGGAAAAGGGAGGGAGAAGGATAGGACAAGATTTTCGTCAGCAAATGCGTGTTAGCAGCAAAGAACGGAGTCGAAAAGACATCTACTCAGAAAATACATCCCATGAGGAAGTTGTTAAGGAAGGGTGAGTAGGTGAACCTCAGCTTTGGCCGATGTTGTTGACGATTGAAATCGGAGACGAAATTGAGCTGCTTCTGCCCGGAGCGTACCTAATTAAGTCGTATTTTTTCCTAAATAGCGTCTCCACTTGGGCAATCACATTGTACAAACATACTCGAATGGATGTCTCTATCGTCCTTCTACCAATTTCCTACGCTCCTCGTTGAGACGCATCATTCGACTTTCTGAGGTGGTCGGAAGAGATAAATCAAGGAATAAACTCTTCTCGAGTAAGCTCTGATTCTTCCTAAAAAGGGCCGACCGGCGCTCGCAGAAAAAGTACTAAGCGAAAATGAGGGTTTGGGCCTCAATGCGAATAGCCCGGATAGTTCCGATGGCTCGCAGTACGACCTATTTGTGGAAATCCCAGGGCTACTAACAATAAGATCTAAACTCGAACATGTGGAGGTGTGCCCGTCTTTCCTTCTGATGTTTTTGTAACTCTCCAACCAGGTTGTAGCCTGAATTTCATTCATAAAAAGTAAGCGAATGAAGAACAGGTAGAAAAGTGGCTCGGTTCTGACCCTCCAAGTGCATTCTCGATCAGCCGGGAATGAGAAGACGTCGAGTTGCATTCATATGCAATACATCAAACGTTAAGCTGTCTGTTCTCAGATAAACCTCTAACCTTTGGATTGATACGCCAAACATCAAAGAAGTAATGGCTTCACAACTCAACACTTGTAATTATTTCTCAGCTATCTCAGCTATCGGGTATGTAGGAAGACTATACGTTTCACGATACAAAATCTATATAAAAGTGACTTCAGAAGCCTTAGAGCTCCAGTAAAAAAGTTAATTTTTGTAGGAAAAAAATGTGTGAGACCCTCAGGTAGGAATGTAAGCCTGGGAGTTGTTACCTCAAAAAAAACCTGTGTCAAATTCGAGAAGAAATATACTGTGCATGAGCCTGTTACCTCTTCTTCCTTACTATTAGTACCTCTTAAATTCGACGAAATAGGAACCAGAAACAAAGAAAATTGAAAAGGAACGATGTTAAGAGCGGAGGAAACTCGGCTGTAACTAGAGGTGGCTCGCGATATCGGCGACAAACAACTAGTAAAGGTTTCGTTGATTGGTGTTAATCCTTTCCTCATCTAGCCTAACGACAAGGAAACTTCGTTGTTGGCACATCTGGTAAACATGAACAAAGAACATCACCCATGGTGGTGTAGGCAGTGGTAGCTCCTCCTATTCAAATTAAGACTGGATGAAAAAGAAATAGTGCATGCCAGATTGGAGTTAGAAAACAAGGAGCATTGAAAGGACTTAAAAGGGAATCCAGTTACTCAATACTTGAACATGGTGAGGCTATAGTATGCATTCCCGGTGAATTGAGTGAAAGTAGAAAAGTACATGACAACTTTGATCAGCAAATAAACAAACGTCACTGAAGCCGCTGGAAACAGATTTGGTAGGAGGTTTTCACCCCAGTAAATGGGCGAAGTGAAAGTGAAGCCAAATCAATCTATTAGGCTAGAGCTAGATTGAAGTTTGTGACGTTCAATTCCATTTGGGCATACGCCCACATATTCGAATTTCATTCGGAATCCCATGTGAATAGGTTTTTTTGGAAAAGTGAAATGCTGACAACGGCCCGTGTACGTGGTTGATACTTTTTTCGTCGCAAATGAGTTTAGTACCAATTCACCGACTTCGAAGAAACAGAAATCACAGTCGGTGTGGTCAGGTACCATTCCGAATCTTAACAGACCATACTCGTTGTAGCGGCACCCTTCGCTTTACTGGACTGTGTAAAGGGTAAGAGCTATCACTTCAATAAACTACCACTACTTTACCTCCCCTATAACAACAAGTAGTCGCTCATAAGATCTTCCTCATCTGAATAGCAGGGTAGTGCTCGAACCAGAGGTGGTTACTCTCACGCTTGCCTCAGCCCGGACGATCGAACCCTGGCTGGATTGTCTATCACGAAGACCTTTTAGATGTCTTGTTGAATGGAATTCCAGTCGTACATCTCAATAAGGTACCACATGGAAAAACCTTCTCAATTTCTTTTGACGGTATGTCCACCTGAATTTTCCCATCCAGGCTAAGTGATCAGAAAATGAAATAAATGGCAAGATACAAAGCTCCCTGACATCAATCAATCCATTTCCGTGATGTATCCAAGCATTCGGCTTCCGTTAAGAGTTGTAGAGGCGTTTTGAATCCGTATATGGCTCCTACAATGAACTGTAGTGATGTGTAGTGCATTTATCCTCCCAAACGACCGACTAATGTTTCAGGGAGGATGGAATCCATGTTTGGTTTGGTTGCGCATGGGATTTGATATAGGACATAACTAGTTGCGATGGCTACTCGTTTTTCTTCTTGTTCAAAGTTGAACGATAACGAAGTCCGTCCAGCTTCCTTACCAACTGTCGACGGTGCTATCTATGGTCCATACGGTGGTCTCTGCTTATCTATCTCAACGAACTTCCCCCAGATGGGGGATCAAAGAACAATTCAAAGAACACCCGATCAGGCCAATTCCTTGTGATCAATACGACCACCAAATCTCTGCCACGTAACTCGGTGGCACCGAAGTGAGACACAATGGTGCTCCTGTAAGTTTTTAAATGATTTTTACTTATGGTCTTTTGAAGTAGAAAATTGAAGACTAAATACATGTCTTTACCATATAGAGGATAAGGTGCTATCGTACCGTTGTCACTAAATTTTGTTTTCTGCCCTGATTGCAAATAACAGGCTTTTTGGACGCGATTTTCAGACCAGCGATTCTTCGAAAACTTCATTTCCTTCGTATAGGAGGAAGAAGGCAGGAGTTCGACGGGTGCCGAAAACGTCTTCTTATCCTGTTCTCCTGGTATGTAGTATGCATTCAGTTTCCACTAAGAATAGTAGTGCATTTTTGATTTGCATGTAATGCACAATAACTCGATGGCGGTCGTTTAATATACAGGACCGTTCTTTTATCCTCCCAGATTAGTCTGGTGTCGGCAAATCGACCCTGGAAATATTGAAGGAATGGTTTGGTTGGTCTGGGCGCATGGTATCCAATTGGTGTAAGAACTACGGACCAAGCGCCTGGTGGTGGCCCTTTCTTCCTCCACCTCTAAGACATGAAGAAGAAATGAAACTAGGCTAACAAAAACCTCTTAGAACCTATAGAGCTGATATGAGAAGCTGGATAAAGCNGGGTTTCTAGACTGGAAACGAGTAACTTAACTGAATGTTCTTCCGAATAATCCTTGAGGCTGGGTGAGAGAAGGTGTAGTGAGATAGGGGAACTTCCTCTATTGACCCTTTAAACTCTTTTTTTGTCCATTCTTTATATGCGGTCGAAACGATTGGCAAAGGGGCCACTCATAATGCGTTTATCATACAGATCACAACATAAATTTAATATAGTCAGTTCACTTCAGCAGAGGGCTGAAAGTTTCGAAAGTTGGCAGTCCATAATTCGTCATTCGATAATGTGCTTATATCGGGTGTTGACTGAATCCGCAAGGATTTTTTATGAAAGGTGTTACTTTCGCAATGGACCAAATTGAAACTGGTTGACAAAGTGTTGTCTCATTCTTTTCAATGGCTCTAGCAAAACAACACGCGGCCAGACTTTTTTCGTAAATTGCAACCAGACATTCTCGGCTACCCTCGTACAAAAAAGAAAACCAAAGTTGTCAATAATCGATTCGAGAAAATCGATTTTTTGGTAGTCTTTCCAGTGAAAAAATCTAAAATAACGGCCTAAAATGATTGAAATGATCATTTGGGAGACAGCGAAGTTTGTTCCTATAGCACTCCTCCGATATCGATCACTCGAACTACATTTGTTCCTCCAAGACAAATTTCTGTTTTTTTCTTGTAATTTTGAAAATTTATTTTGCTTTTTCCTTCACTAGGGGATGCAATGGTCCGCTATTGGGAGGGGCTTTGTTGTAATATATTTTTGAGAATGGGCATTACAGTAATATGGCCACCGACTATACTACTGTTACGCTTGAGATCAGATCTCACGTTCAACCTTGCCCAGACTAATGAATCCGCGTCTGAGTAAAAGAAGGGCATTGTCAACCTGGTCTCGAATGATATGGCCTTCCCTAGTGTGGTGACATAATGGCAAGATAGAGTTTTTCATGTGATTCTATGGGTTTATTTATTTACTTATTTATTTATTTATTTATTAGATGATTACCGGAATCGCAGAATCGTTGTTTACAATGAATGCTCTGATAAAGCGGTCGCAATAAGTTTGGACTATCGGAAACAAAAGTGTCCCAAGCTTGCACCATATGCGAAGGTTAAGTCAGAAAAACAGTCGAATAATGTAAAAGCCTGACCATCAAAGGGTTAGAACTGTAAGCAGAAGAAAGCAATCCCAGTTTTTGTTCTACTTCCCCAAGGAGGAGCCTAATTCTGTAGAAAGTTTGCCCAATTTTTAGCAAACCACTTGGTCCAAAAATCGAGCAAAGTTTTCCATCTGAACCATTGACTTGTGAAGAACACCTTGTGTATGGTGTCTGAACAGCTTCACATGTTTTTCATCATGAAATCCCTTAATGAAAGCCCTCATCTCACTCTGCAATAGGAAACCTTCTCACTTCGATAAGCAATTTCTGTGGGGGAGACCACGGTCACAACAACATAACTAACTGAAGATTGTCACGCATCTCTACAAACCAACTCGACAACTCCTTCATCCCCGGAATTTATGTGAAAAAGTATGAGAAGTGTTCCGTGAGGGATTCTTTCGCTCGCTCGACCATCTACAGCGGATTTTTTTCTCAAAGTGAGGACTGTCGAAAACACTAACGAAGCACAAATCGTAAACATTAGTACAAGGTTGTTTCATGAAAAGCGCCCATTTAGGATAAAAAAGCTTCAAATGGTTAGGGAAAGGAGTTCGAAAGGTGCACGTGGGGATCGCCTGCTAATACATAGTATAGGTAAGAACTGCAGTGTCCCCTAGAACGTGTCTATCCGCAAAAGTAATAAACTGTAGTTACTTAACATAGTCTATTTATTTTCGAGGATAGTCAGGGGGGCTTGATATATGGACGTGAGATATACAAGAGTTGCTCAAAAGAATGTTGATTATCACGAAGCTATTAGCATATGCCATCAAAGGTGACCTCTCGTTGTGTGCCAAACGTTGTTTACTGTATCGATATATTGTTGGATATCCTCTGATGACTTATACGGTTTGTCAGGGGATAGAGCCACGATTCAATTCGATGGCATCGGAGTGCCTGTACCGGAGTGGAAGAGGTGAAGGTGCCAGATGGTGCACCATCACAGACGCATAGCCCGCGAATAGAATCGTGGCTCTACATATATTCGACTAGGCCAATCGAGTCTTCCATTCTCTCAGGGTCGCTTCACGGGTACCAAACTAGTATGAGAGGAGAAAAGCGTTGAATTGTAGAGTGTTCCAAAACGGGTCTGCTTAACCCAAAAAACTCGCTCATACTCAAATTAGGGACGTATTCTAAGCCCTTCTACGTTGAACATATTATTCCGTAGCCTGCTTTTCTTCATGGGACCAACATGAAGTTGAAAAAACAAATTTGCTCCCGAAGAATCCGTTCTAGTGTTAGTCAAAAACTTGTTAGTCATGATTGTAAGTGCTTTGTTGGCCAAAAGAAGGAACAGAAAAGTTTTTCCATCAATTTTGGGTCCGAAGTAATGTCATAAATAATCGATGTTTGAAGATGGTTTTTAACGATATCACGCACGCACTGGGCCTGAATTTCTAGACTCACTCACAAAAAACTTATAAATGAAGGTCCGTATATGAGCATTGAAACATCAGCTCACATGAACGTGAAAAAAATCGCATTAGTAGGGTAATCTTTGCTCGATGCCAAAAAAAGCTTCCGAAGAATCCAAATATTCCATTATACAGGCATGTAATTACAGTATTGGGTTTATTTATTTACTTATTCATTACTGCACCCTCAGGCAACTGCAGTTATGGAGTTCAATCGGAATCACAATAAAGAACAACACGCAAAAGACCCACTGGAAAGCAAAATAGTTCCTGAAACTCCGAACACAACAGCCCGTAATGGGATCAAGAACGGATTGTACAATTCCGAAGTCATTTGTACGCATGGCCTATTCCAAATCGGCATTGATACGCGTCAAATGGTTATCCTCTTTCTATCAAAAGTTCAATTTAAAATGGTGATAGTAGAACTGTAGATCAGGATGTAGAGTGTAGATCATGAGTGCAAATCAGGGATCGAGCCGCCCATCACCATTGATTCGCAGCCACTCGGACGACGGTTTCGACGCCACCGCTTTTGTCTTTTTCGTTTTTCTCGTTTTTTCCTCACTTCCCTCCTTCAAATGCCAAATTTATATATTTCAAGGGGTGTATGTCGTTTGGCGCGATCCCTCCCATCGCACTGCCCATTCGACGCGATTTGCGAGTTAAACAACTCGTCCAGGTGATCGAGCAACCCACTGCCCACCCAACTGATAGAAGTCCGATCTATGACGCCACGCTGATAGGCAGGTCTACAATTCGTGTCTAATAGTAGCGCCGTCATTGATCGGCCTTCTATCAGCTGGATGTACAGTGGGTTGCCCGATGACCTGGACGAGTTGTCCAGCTTGCAAACCGCGTCGAATGGGCGGCGGAGAAATCGTGCCAAACGACCGCCTCCTATTTTTCAACAATTCAGTAGCCTCAGATAAGATCGAATAATTCGTCCATTTGAAGACAGCTAATATCCAGTTTCTCTCCATAACTAAGCAACTGCGAACACTGCCAAAAATGTTAATTTTAGTTTTTTAGAAATGGCCAATTTCCGGACACACGGACGTCATCCGGTTTTCCCAATGGGCGCATCCAACGTCTAGGAAGCTCAAGCAAAGGACGTTCCACTAATGTGAGTTTTAGACGATATCAAAAACCTCATTAAGAATGTAAGTAGCAAGAGAATTGTATGCTTTTGCTGATTTCCAAAGTCAGCAAGATATAAGGATTGGTAATACGGAGCCATTATTTCGAAGAATCGGTAATGTTGGGAAGTTCATTGAACAGCCTTTCGTGTTTGAAGTGGGTAAAGGTAAGTATCTGAAATGGACCTCTAGTCAACGGCCTCGTTTCGTACACCATTTTCAAACAGCCAAGACAGTTGGTATTACTTGCGTAGTTGCTCATCCCTTCAACATGCTGGACAGTGTAGTACTTAGAGGACTTCATAAAAGTTGCCTCAACCCGAAATGTGAGGAGTTCTGAAAAAGAAGTCGTCCCCGACTACTGCCACTCCCGGATTGTTAAGGAGCTCATGTGCTCATGTTAGTGGGCATGAGAGAATTCGTTCGAAATGAATCTTCCTCTTCGAAAGTCATGATTTGTCGGATGCTCATTGCAAACTTATTTCTTCACCGCCCTAGCTCCCGAATCACTCCCCATTCATAGTTACCCATATTCAAAGAAGAGGTCCTACACAAAACCGAGAAGCGTTTTTTGCGAGGTTAGCTTCACTCACCTTTTCAATGACTTGGGCTGAATAGTTTGAGTTAGGAAGAACGTTGATTATAAGAGCACCTTGAATGAAGCCTTCTCAGCTGTTCATCTAATTTACTTCGCTTCTTCAATTTTTTTTTTCTATGACGTTTATATCATCTTTATGAGCCAGTAGACGGTGTGTAGTGTTTGCGGTGACCGGTAAGCTCTAATAAAATCGTTGCATTATTGGAAAGGCTGACTGTTGTGGGACGGGCTCCATTAATTGGTACCAGGTTCGTCTGGAAGGATAAAAACACCAAGTTTAACAGCGGCTGGGAGGCATGACAGCAAATCTATTTGATGACGAAGCGGGTAGTGTCACTACAGCCGAGGTGGTACTGATGAGCACAGCCCGATTCGGCCGTCAATTTCATTGATTTGTGATCATCTACCGCTCGAAATTGAAACAGCATTCCTCGCGAATCATCGAAGGGCATGTATGGCTTCTTCTTCCCGAGAAGAGAATGACCATCCCTACCCACTATTCGATACGATATTTTTGTGGTGCGGCATGTTGATGAATTATTAATAGGGAGGTGACCACGAAAAAGGAATTATTCTCTGGAATGAGTTTCCCAGTATTTTCACGGGACCTCTGGCTATTCCAAATGATGATGGACAATACATAGAGAAGGGAAATTCCTCCGATTTCTATAAGCCATACTTAACATTGCGGAACCAGTCAGGTCGGAAAGGGAAGACAAATATTATTAAGGAGGTATCGGGTTGGACGAGTTTCCTTGTTGTTACTTGGAGACTCTGGCAATTCCAATTGATGATGGACAATACATAGAGATGTGAATTTCTTAGGTTTGCTCTCAACAAGGCTCAACATGCGGAACAAGCGAGATTTTGAAATCAGGGAAATCTTATTGAGGACCTACCTAATTGGACGAGTTTCCGCGCACTTTCCCGGAAACTCTGGTTTTTCTAAGAACAAGGCTCAGCATGCGGAACAAGCGAGATTTTGAAATCAGGGAAATCTTATTGAGGACCTACCTAATTGGACGAGTTTCCGCGCACTTTCCCGGATACTCTGGCTTTTGTAAATGGTGGTAAGTAATATATAGAAAAGGGAAATTCCTCCGATTGCTGAAAGCCACGCTCATCATTGCCGAAACATTGGGATTGGGCAAGGTGGGCAAGTATTATTGAGGAGATATTGAGTTGGACGAGTTTCCTTGTTGTTACTTGGAGACTCTGGCAATTCCAATTGATGATGGGCAATCGACGAAGGATCGTAAACGCCCTCTCTGATACAAGCATCAATTGAATTGAGTAGTCAGAATGGAAATTGCAAGGGATAT